GGTGTCACGAGGGTACGAAATGCAGCAGCACCCTTCCAACTCTGTACCATAGCTCTGCCTCTCTCTCAGTCACTTGCCCTCACTGCACCACGAAGCGCACTGCGCCATCAAGCTCTGTCATCCACCCCCTTCTCTTCGCGTGCGACCAGCTCTAGGCATGTGGGAACCATGCCAGAGAACCCGACAGACAAGGTGTTTGCCGTTTTCGACAAGGGTGCATCGGCAGGTATACAGGAGAGAATGGTCAGTGGCAGGACATCAATCCAAGCGCGTATAGATGTATGCTAACGTCGCCGCTTTGTGTGCGTACAGAGCACCCCAAAGACTCGGACAGCACCGCAGGATCCGGCGCTCGCACGCGAGGAAGCGAACAAGCGTCCTCGGCGGGCTGCGGCAGAGGCCGCAGATGCTGCTTCCGTTCTTCAAGCTGCTGCTCAACGCGAGGCGATCAAGGAAAGCCGGCGCAAGGGTCGCACACCGCGAGAAGAGGTCAGCATCAAGAGTGGTGGAGCTGGGCGCCCATCCGACGCCAAGTCCGTCGAGGGAGATGCAAGGTCCAGCTCCGAAGCTCCCGAGGTGACAGCGGTGCGGCTTGGAAAGGGCAAGCGCAAGGACAAAAAGGGCGATAGCATCTCCCCTCGCAAGCATCACAATGGAGTTCCGGCCGGCGTCAGCTTCAAGTCTAGACAGCCACTCGAGCTATCCCTCGACGTCAAGGGAACTGGAACCAAAGCGGAGCAAGCGCACAGCTTTTTTGCTCGACGACCTGCAGCTGCAGCAGCTCCAGCCCGGGGCGCTCAAGCAGCTGTGAGCGACGCCAATGAGCAGCGGAACCTCGAACCACTGCGCCGAGTGTCCTCGATAGCGAAACGGAAGCCTCAGCTCGAGGCTCCCTTTCCAGGACCTGGTCATGCTCACGTCAATTGGGCGACGCAAGAGTCTGCAGCCTCTTCACGGGTCTTCGATGGGCGCGCTCCACGGGACAAAGGCAAAGCGCGCCAGGTGGACGAGACGTGCACCGAGCTTGCAGCTATATGCAACCACGAATCGCGGAGAAATGCAGGCGAGGGACCCTCCTCGATGTCCATCCCGAGGAGAGGTGAGCCGCAAGAGGTACTGTCAAGCTTTTTGGAAGAGGTTGTTCCTCTGGCAAAGGCGAGGTGTCGTGATGGCTCGCTACCTGCTGCTCTGACCCGCGCTATCAACACTGTCACAGACCGTGGTGCCAGCCATGAAGCGAAGCGCACGAGCGAAATGTGGACTCACCGTTGGCGTCCGTGTTCGGCATCCGACTGTCTGGGCAACGAGGAGATGGCAACGTACCTACGAGACTGGTTGCGGGAGCTTGAAGTGTCGCCTTGGGAGAGGAGAGAAACGCAAATAAGCGGCGTCGAATTGAGGGCAGACGTGAGGTATGCAAGCGTTCCAAAGCGTCGCGCAGTCGAGAAACGTGTGGAAAAGTCTGCGCAACGGCGTCTTGGTCGGTCGTCTACCAGAAGAAAGAGACGAGGGCCCGGTGGCTACAGCTCTGGCGACGACGAAGACGATATGGCTGATTTCATCGTGGATGATGAAATGTCAGAGGGAGATCACGTCGAGGATTCCAACTTTGACAACTTTCGGCCTCCGGGCGATGCGAATCACGGAGCTGCCCTCTCGCGCGCAACGGACACGGCGCCAATGTCACCAGCCTCTTCCGTCGCACTCCTTCCAGCTTCGATGAAAGCCGCTGCGGGCACGCCTGGATCCTTTGCAGCAGTGGAGCATTTCAGGAACTGCATCGTCCTCACGGGGCCAAGCGGGGTGGGCAAGACCGCTGCAGTGTATGCGTGCGCTTCAGAGCTTGGGTGGGAGGTGTTCGAATTGTTTCCTGGAATGAAGAAACGGAGCGGAAAGGATCTCGAAGGCGCGGTGGGCGCACTCTCAAGAAATCACATGGTTGGCTCTGGAGGCGGGGCAAGTGGAGTCTCAAATAGTCAGTCTACCAATGCTCTTTCTGCTCTCATGAGTCGTGGCAATGAGGCAAGCCCTGCCACAGCATCTTTCGAGCCCAGTGCGGTTCGACAAAGCTTGATCCTGCTAGAAGAAGCAGACATTCTATACGAAGAGGACAAAGGGTTCTGGCCTGCGGTGGTTCAGTTGGTGGCAACTTCGCGCAGACCAATCGTCATTACATGCAACGGTGAGTCACGTGAAATGACACCCAATACGCTCTGGGCTCGCTTCTAATCACGCTGCATGCCCGCTAGATGTCGACTATGTCCCTCTTTCGGATCTCCCGGTGCAAGAGGTGCTGCAGTTTTGCAGCCCCACACCTTCCATAGCCGTACCTTATCTTCAAACCATTGCCCTGGCTGAAGGTCACATGCTGGACTCTGATGAGCTTGCAGAGCTCTACGACACCACCACTACGCTGCATGATCCCCTGTCGGAGCGCAGGGTAGCTGCGAATGGCCCATTGCATCCCGCTACCGAGCTCATACACTCCGAGCGTCGATGCGACATCGACAGTAGCCCCACGGTCTCTCACGATCTCCGAGCCGCACTGAACCAGATCCAATTTGCATGCCAGCACGCGGTCGGCGTGCCTCGGAATGTCGACGGCGGTCTAGGGGAGGAGCACGCCGAGGAATGGACACCGTCTTCGGAACACGGGCTATGGAATCTGACGTCGCTTCACGGCTGCGCGAGGGCAGAGGGCCAAGATGACAAAGGAGAGGCGAGCTGTGTAGTCTCCGAGACGCATTCTCCCGTGGACGCTTTGAAGAAGGTGCGCCTCCTCGGCATTGCCTGTAACGCCCGGTCTTTTGCAGACGCGCATCTGCAGCGCATCTTTCGAAGAGACAGCGACGTGAGTCTATGCTGGTGGCTAGGTGGCATCATCGGGTAATCGCTGACCACAATTCTCTTGCGTGCCTGCCTTAGTTGTACGAGCATGAGCAAATGTGCGCTAGCGTTAGCGACGTGCAACAGCCTGCGCACGTCTCGCAGCTCTACAAGTCCCATCCTTATCCAGAGACCATCGCCATTCCTTCCATCAAAGGCGAAGATCGCCTACTGGCCGCCATTCAGGATTGTGCGCAAAAGCTTCTCAGCAGTGCCGATTGCGTTGCGCTCCAACCGTTCGACCCGCTTGCATTCGACTTGGCGCGGTGAGTGCTGCTAGCCACATGTCCACATAGGCCTTGCTAGCTTTCTCTCTCTGACTTGACTACCTCTTGTCGTCAGTTTGCGCCACTGCAAGGACGTGTGGACGTTGCTACGCTTGCAACAGCCCCCGTATAGCTATCGTCTACCTCGCGAGCAGACCGTGACCGAGTACGCTCCAACCGTGAGGCATATTCATGCTCTCGATGACGAGGCGGAAGCTTCCCATGAACAGGCTATTGCCGCGGCAGTCGCCGAAGCTCAAAAAGCCCCTTTGGAGGATCAGCCAATACGCAGTCTACGAGCTACCAGAAATTCAGCTAGAAGCACCCTAGACGGAGGCTTGCCCAACCGTCATTATGAGCGCTGGTACCTCGCTGGACCGGAAGAGCTTGCAGCGGCGAGAAGAGGCCGACTTTTGCAATAGCCCCGTGTCTGTCCATGCTTGACTCGCTGAGCGGAGCGCGACGCTTGGACGCTTCCGTGCCTGCTGTGGTCACGTTTGAGCATCCACGACTCCAAGGAATGCATTGCTGTTGCTCCCATCGCTGTCCACGACGAAATTCGCAAGACCATTCTAGTGGTCGTTTTATTAGCCAGGCGAAACTCATCGAATCGCCCTCGTGACCAGGCTGATTGAGACAGCTGAACATGCTTGTTTGCCGCTCTCGCTGATGGCGTTTCTGATGGTGGGACGCTCGCTCTCCCGGCTAGCTAGCGTGACCGATGGCCGATGCACAAGCGCTCGAACCCAGCAGAGCAGCCAAAAGAACGCTGCAACAGGCACCCACCCACCAAGTCGCACTCACTCACTGCACTGGCAGAGGAAAAGGCACGCGCACGCACGCACGCGCGGATGCACGCGCGGATGCAAGCATGCAGCAGCAGCTCGGTGGTCCGGTTTGAAAGCGCTGGTTTGCTCTCCGTTCAGATCGAGCTTCTCCGCAGCTTGCCTGCTGGGCTGGGCTACAGCATGGCAAGCACGCTTCCCCACACTGTGCTCGCGCACACGTCGCAGCAGCACCGCTGACGTTACGAGCTGCTCGTCATCTTGGACGGCGGCCCAAAAGCCTCGTTTTCATATCCGCGATTGCATGCATTGCTACCTCGGCCACCCACAGACGCTCACCCTTTTCCCCTGGCGATACCCCTCCTTCGCCATCGCTACTTCTTCCTTCCCAGCCCAGCCCAGCCCAGCCCAATCGCCCTTTCGGTCAACGCTCGATCCCGTTTCATTTGGTGTGCGACCACATCACCCTTCCTACCTCGTCTACATAGCAGAAAGGTACCACGTCTGACAGGGCCGAACACTTCGACCATGTCGGCACCAATCTCTTCCACCTCCTCCACCAACAAGTCCGGCGCTGCGACCCGTACCTCGCCCCTCGGCAAGTTCATCGAGAGCGCGCCAAAGATCGATCCGGCCGTCGCGCTGGCTGTTCGCAAAGCAGGACCACCTCGAGTCAAGTACTTTGTGCCCATTCTGCGCATGATCCTCTTCCACCTCTGGTTCTTGCCCTCCAGCGCCATCCTCATCCCTCTGCTCATTGCCAAGAATGCCCTGCCTTGGCTTCGAACCCACCGAGGATGGTCTTTTCGCCTAGCGCTCGGTATCGAAGCCACGCGCTGGGCTATGCGCAACTTCATCTTCTTCAGACTCCAGCCCATCGCACCCAGGCAGGGAGGTCTGCGAGAACGTCCTGGACTGCTCGGTGCGCTGTTGCAGTCCCTCAACGCTAGCGGTCCGGGTGGAAGGGTGGTGCTGCCCAAGCAGCTCGCCAAGACATCCTTGCAAGCGGCAAAGAAACAAAACAGAAGGCGAGACAGAATTTGGTTCGACGCTCCTCAACTCGAATACTTTCGAGGCATCCTCGCCATTCAGCCTGGCAAGGAGGGTACAGGGGCGGTAAGGACAGCGGGCTACAGAGGTCCAGCTTTGGTGGAGCCCAAGTGGGCCAAAGCCAAGACTCGCGGTTTTTGGTTCATGAGAAAAGACGGAGAAGCTCCTCCTGAGGTGGATGAGAAGAAATCCGAAAGACCAGTCATCCTCTACTTCCACGGTGGTGCTGGTGTGACCTTTGGTGCAGGCGACATCTTCATGGGAATGACGCTGGCTCAAAACTTGGCCAGAACGTCTGGCATCGACGTCTTTTCCGTCGACTACAACCTTGCGCCATTCGCACCTTGCCCTGTGCCTCTCAGCCAAGCTGTTGGAGCTTGGATTCACCTCCAGTCTCTCGGATACTCGCCCAACCAAATCTTTATCGGCGGCGATTCGTATGGTGGCTGGCTCACTCTTCAGCTGGAGCGCTACTTGCGCTTCGAAATGCCCGCGCTGCACGGAGAGGACCACAACCAAAAGCCTCTTGGACTGATCTTGCTTTCGGTGAGTCATCTTATCGCGACATGTATCCGCGCTTCTCGACCACATCCTTCTGACTCATTTTGACCGCGTTGCAGCCTCAATTGGCTACGGTCAACGAGCCATTCGCCGCTCGCGAGAGACACCTCAAGTACGACATTATCGTCAGAGCCTATCCGGAGTGGGGCATCGATGCGCAGCGCATCGGTCCCAAGCACGCCAAACGCGCAGGCCCGTTGGCCGACCTCACCAACACTTGGGTTAGCCCGTACACCAGGTCAAAGGAGGAGTTCGCAGAACTGCCTCCCATCTTTGTTGCCAATGGAGCACTGGGTGAGTGCCATCAAAGCCTTTGCTCTAGGTGGGCTGCACATCGCTGACCGTCCAACTCTTTCACTTCACTGTGATCGTATCGCAGAGTGCCTGGTCGACGAAGGCATCCAATTCGTCGCAGCAGCGCGCAATGCAGGTGTGCGCAACGTCGAACACGATATTGCCGCCCACGAACCTCACGACTACTTCACCATGGCTACGAGCCTTCCGGTGGCCATTCGCACCTACAAGCGACTTGGCAAATGGGCTCACAGGATCATCGACGAGCGCGGCTACGAAGTCGCTTGATCGCTCTCGTGTAAAATGCCACAGTCCTCTGCTCCTCGTTTGCTTCGCTTTGCTCCTTACTGCCGCGCTCCTCCATCGACGCCACCCACCTCGCTTCCAAATCATTCGGCACCATTGTCTAAGCTTTACGAGACGCGCACCAAAGTACTCCCTGCTCGCGCGCGATTCCCAACTTGCATTGGCCGGCCAGACTCAAAAGAGATTCACTCCAGATGGTGACTCAATGTATGATTTTCAAATGACTGGTGTCCCATCTACAGGCGGCGCTTGAGGTTCGGCCGAATTCATGCGGGGCAACTCCCCGGTCCACCACCTTCGCTGAGTTGCCAAGGGATAATGGGAATTAGCAGATCCTTCTCTCCTCATATCGGTAGATGTGGATAGGTTCCTGAATTGAGTCATGCTGCTCCTTCGACAAGCGGTAGTGGCAGCATAGCCAAGCCAGGGGCGGACCTCTGCGAGATGAAAGACGTCTGGATCCGAGAAGCACGTCTGGTCGTCGTCTGCGGCGCTTGATGAGGCGGCGGAGCTCGGCTCGATCGGGTCGGAACCGCTTGAGCGATGCGATGGCGCATGAGTCCGAGGATGGCAAGCTGCAGCGGATGCCAAGAATTCATTGCGAGCTTCGTGGCGATCCCATCCTCCCGGACGCGGTGCAACAATTCTGACCTCCAAGTCTGGCAAGACGCTACCTGACGCATCTCGAACGCTGGATCTCTGCTGTCGAAACAGCTCGACGAGCGCTTCCTTGCCTTCCCTCACGTCCATCCAGTAGGTGTCTCGGTAAGCCGTGCGGTCTCTCTCCAGCTCTGCATCTTCCTCCGTCTGTTGCTGCTGTTGAGCAGCTACCTCTGCATCAGTGAGGGCAATGTTGGCTGGTAGGTCCAAAGACGCGAGCACGCCAGGGTCGGTATCCGACATTTGTTCCTGTGTAGAGCATTTGCAGAGCCTGTGCTCAGCATGCAGCCGCACATCCGACTCCGAAGCGAGACTCACAATGTGCGGCTGTGTCAACCCGCGAGTCGCCGGGCTGCTAGATCTTGAGCTTGTTTCCCAACCTTGGCTATGCCGCATCTCTCGTTGAGCCCAAATTGGCTCATCTAGCGCTCCAAGCTCACCAAGTTCAATGAGCAACCTTCCAAATGACGGCATCTTGGCGCTACACCTCGCCAACTGCACCAGGCTTTCTTGAAAATCGTTGACCCGTTTGGACACCCGCAATCTTCGTCGCGACTCCTCCGGCAAGTACAGATTCGCGCATCTGACGGCAAAATTGCACAGACCATCCGCAGGGACCTGGGAGAGGCGCAATTGGGCCAAATTGGATGGCCTCACAGCCAAAGGGGGGGCGCTATCGGCAAGTGCAAGCGTATGGTCCCTCGCTCGAGGAACGTGCCCGTCTGTCGCTTCTTCAAAGGTTCCGACTGGAAGCTGGACGAGGGCAGGGTCGAAGTGCATCTTGATCAAATGTAGATGCGTTACTTCCCTCAACGCTGCTAAGGAACGGGTCGCCGGTTCATTGGCAAGGTAGCTGCGTGTAGAGAGCCAGAGTCAGGTGGCTCGTGACTGAAGAAGAGAGCGGGAAATGCTACCCACCTAAAGCTGTTGAGGCTCACGCGCTTGGGCTCGATCGCGACACCTGAGGATTTTGAGAGCTGTTCAAACGCAGTGTTGGTGGGCCGCATACCTAGCCACAAGCTCTGCAGGTCGCGCGTACACCGGAAAATGATGTCCAGGCTGGAGGGCCAGGCTTGTTGATCTGCCAGACTATCAGTCGCCGTAAGAATGCCATCGCTGGGAATGTTGAGATGCTTGATGAGGAATGACAGCTCTTGAGCTCTCGGCGAGGTCAGCATGGTTCGAGCAAGAAGTCGAGCTTGCCGCACGCGGTCCAGCGAGGCAGTTGCGTAGATAAAAGGAGTGACGATCTCATTTAGCGACTTGCAGACCAGTGACAGGGCCAAGAAAGGTCGGTTGGCTGACGGTGCGCCAAACGACAGGACTCGCCGGACGGGAGACACTGCTGTCATCTCTGGAGCTGGGTGGATAGAGGTAGGTGGGTCGGGTAGTAACAGAGAGAAGGTGTGATGTAGCAGCTCTGGTGGCAGAGATAGCAGCGATGGTCGACCTACTGCCATGTCCTGTTGCTCTTGCCCTTGCTCCTGCGCGCTGCCACCGCTCATCGTTGATACTAGGTGACGCTCAAGGGCGCCTGAAGAAACAAGTCTTGGCTCGCTGCTCTCCTGCTGGCCGGATGCGCCTCGGGAGCTGTCATGGTTCGACGCGGCGCGATGCGCCGCTTGGGCCGTGGCGCGATGATCAAGGATCTGGTCGCTCCTCCAGGTGATGAGGTCTGCGTGTAGGGAGCCAGTGGCTTTCGAGATGGTGTGGGCAGGCATGGAGGTGGCCAAGTCGCGGTCCCTGCACATTCCCGCCTCTGAGGGTTGGTGGAAGGGAGTCGAGGCGGGATGGCGCTTCATTGCTCGCTCTTGCTGGGTGCTTGCTGTCTCCGCGGGGATTGGGTGCGTACCAGCAAGTCCTGTGGTAAGAGCAGATAAAGCTTTAAAATGCATGCATGCTAGCTCCTGACCTCCACATAGCGGCGCAGTCACGCGTGCGCGGTGCTTCTATCTACGCTTTCGAGACTCGCGCTCAAATCTTACATGCTGGAATCAGGACCGCGTAATTCAAGATTGTCTCCGAGCGACAGGTGAAAGTATTCAATAACAGGCTCAAAGTCAAGGCGATGCGCGCAGAGAGTTGCTACTGCTGCTGCTGCAACTCATGGCTCCTCGGGCTTCAGCCTGCATGTGGACGTATTAATTGCCTTCGCTATAGCAGGCAGAACCGCGGTCTTGTTGCGCGAGAAGGGGCATCAGCTGCAGGGCAAGAATCCACCTTCTCATCTGAATTTCTGGTAGGCCATGATGTATGCCTGATCTAGGTTACGATCACACTTTTAGATTCCTCAGTGATCTACGCGTCATGCTTCAAGTCCTTGCTTCAAGTCCTTGCTTCGCCCATGCGTGATCTTGGATCCACTTGCGGCTGTACAACTCGATCGTTCAACCAGACTCACGACTCTCGAGCAAGCATGATGCGCCTAAATGGTAAATGCATGCTGTACCGCGCACGCGGAGCCGCGCATTCAAGCAATCTGCATGGCCGCCATCGTGATCGGTGTTGAAGTCAAAGTGGCAGCCACCGAGCCAATTCAATCCTGCGGCCTTCCGCGTCCCGCAAAGCTCCCGGCTACGGCCAGTCGGTCGCAATCAGTCTCACACGAGGTGGTCACTCGAGTGGACGCCTTTCGTGACAATCTCGTGTTGTCCAAAGTCGTGGCATATGCTGTCATGTATGCACATCAGTTCGGCACTACAAGGCTGACTGGTTGCATGGATGACTCGGCGCTGGACACTTGCGCGCCGCACTTAAAGCAGCTCAGCCGACTTTCGAGACATTTGTGAGTAGGTTGAGTCTGATGAGTCCATGCAGAGTCAAGAGTGACTCCCCGAAGACTCAAAGGCACCTTTACCGATGCAGGTCCCTATATATATATAGGTACACTCATAGGCGCGGCGCGGTCCACCGCGGACATTCCTCGGTGAAGCAGCAGCACTCACGCATGCCGCAGTATCAAGATCGAGCTGATGCCAGTCCGCGTTCATGCAGTCGCAACCTCCAGCTCAATCATTTACCTGAAACTTCCGAGAGTCTCACTTTGATTCACCATCGAGTCATCGCTCAAATCCTGGCCGCATATGAGCGTAAAAGTTGCACACTTCATTATACTGCATGCCCGCGAAAGAAGATGACTCAATGATGAGTGGACAAAGCCACAGCTATATGGGTCATGGCGTAAACTTTTACAAACTCCAGAGGGACATCCACAGCGTTCAGAGATCGTCGATCGATGCGCGAGCGCTAGCTGTGGTCCAGCAATTGCGAGCTGACATGCCCGCGCAAGCACAATCTTTGAATGTTGAACAAAAAGCGGCACATCCAGTCGACGCCTCGCTCATGCGAACCGTATTGCGCCTCCACGCATCTATCATCATATAGACCTATGACATGCAGCACGAGGTCACTTTGCCGATTAAAAAGCCCATATACCTCTAAGCAGCTTACCTGGAAGCACACAGAAACGCAGGCTTTCTGCCGTGCGAGGTAAGATCGAGTTGCGGGTGCGCCTGGGGCTTGACACTGCCTGCAGCTTCCCGACTCGGATCGAACAGGCGCCAAGTGTCCTTAGGTCATCCTCATCAGGCACCTGCATTCCTCAAGCATCGTCAATTCTGGGCTCGACTGGGCCTCTCCTCACATCAGCATCGCAATTGTAAGGCGCAGCCTCGTCCCCTTTCCGCATCCTTATATCCGCTGTTCACCCTCTCGACCAGAAGCTCTCATTTCTCTCCACAACCTTTCAGGGTCGCCCGCTATTCTTCCGTCACCTGCATTGTTGATCTTTCGGTTTTCATCGTCGTCACTTCTGTCGTCCAAGCTATGCGCTACTTGGCACGATGGCTCAGCTTCAGGTGAGGCGTATTGCATGGCGTGGAAACTAATTCAGCTGCTGACCTCAAAAGCTCGCTTTTGGAACGTCAGCGGAGACGTCAATCCCAGCAACAGCTGCAGCAGCAGCACCAACACCAACGTTTGATCTCCACAAAGAAACAGTTGGCTGAGCAGGTGCGCGTACATACATGGCAATGCACGTCGCCGAGCGGCCCAGATTGGCTGACAATTAAAAGTGCTCGACTTTGCAGGCCACACTGACAGTTACACACAGCATACAGGCAGTCAAGTCGCTGATGGAGACCTCGGTAGGCTGCTTTACGTACTTGAGGTACGTCAAAAGCAACGATGCACAGCTTGGTGCAGCTTTGCTGATTCTCCAGACGTGTTGCAACTGTGCAGAGCGCTGTTTCCGGAAGAGAACTTCGAGGATGCAACAGTTCCAGGGTGCATTGAGCACTCTGAGCGACTAAAGATATCAGAGTGCTGACTGACATCGTCGCAAAATCCTACAGCGCAAATACCAAGCTTGACGACCAAGGCAGGCCTATTAAGACGTCGCGTGATGGAAGCATCAAGGTCAGCCCACTGCACACAAGGGTCCTGCAGATTTCGCTCACCTGCCCCTGTGGCTCGATGGCAGGTCAAAAAGCTGAAGCGAGGATGGTCAAAGGAAGCCGATCAGCTGCTCTCGTACTTGGAGGAGGGCGTGTGCGACGCCTTGCAGCGCAACTACCTCCAGTCCTTGGTGTTTGCTGTCTCCATCGACAAGGCTCATCCTAACGAGGTCATTGAGGTGTACACGTTCAAGTGAGCAGGCAGAGCATAGAATGTGGAAATCTCGCTTTTGTTAATGCAATTCGTTGTTGCTCTACGACAGCTTCACGTATCGTGCGATCAAAGGCAGCAAAACAAAGTTGCCCGTCCTTGAGATGGTCGACAAGTTACGGGACATATCCATCTGGAACGCGGAGCCTATCGAGGCTCTGCCAACGACGCGCGATGTGCGCTCTTCCACTCAGGTGCGACATCAGTCAAAGAGCAAGGGAGAACGCAACGTACAAATGTGTGTGGTAAAGCTGACTCAGCGCACCTGCGTTCACCATCTAGTCGATCATCCGCTCCTTGATCACGTTGACCCAGTCACTCATTGACTTGCCTAGTGAGTAGGAGAACGGCACTGGTAAGCAGAGTGGACCCTCACGCCTTCTCTGTATGCTCCAGGACATCGTTATCTGTAGGTGTTGTGGCGAGGATAGCAGGCGCCAAGGCGGAAGTTGAGCACCAGACGTTGCTCTCAGTACTCTCAAGCTATCTTACAACGACAATTGTCCGCCTGAATACGAGGTAGGTTGCTCTTTTCTTCACTACACGGCGTCTACGACCTTACACTTGCTCAAAATCTCTTCCTTTGTCCCTAGCCTGAACACTTCAGGGCCGCAGATCCGAAGCGCGAGCATTTTGTATACACAACTCAGGGGCTATCGGATAGAGCAGAGCAGGTAGGACGAGCTCGCTTGAGCTTGTGTGCGCATGTATGCTGACGTGGATTCTTGTCCAACCCCAGATGCAGGTCGGCTGCCTACAGACGGGATATCACGGCTTAAATCTCCACGTCGGCTCTATTGCACACCTCCTCCCATCCCCCGAAGAGGTCATGGAGAAGGGTCAAGGAAAGTCGCTAGCGGAGCAGAAACAGATAGAAGAACAATCACAACTACAGAGCGCTATGGCGCGTGTCGTGATTTGGGATGCCGAGGAGCAAGCCATTCCTCAAGAGATGGAGATCAAGTCGGAAGATGAGGCAGAAGAAGAAATACAAGCTTTGATGACTCCTTCGAGACGCGCCAAGGCTATACAGAATCGTCAACGTCGCAAACGCCTCGGTTTCGGTCGACCCGAACGTGGTGCTCCTCTCGGGCTTCGTGATGCGGAAGGCAAGATTGGCCCGGTTCCACCCTCGGCTTGGCAGGTGGCTCAGCGCCGTGCCGAAGCTCGCGAACGAGGTCAAAGTTTGGATGACAGGGACGATCTTGATGACGTCACCCTCTTCGTAGCCAAAGCGATTCAGCGAGAACTGCACGCAACGGACAATTCAATCAATCAAGCCTTAGAGCAGAATTGCAGCAGTCCTGGTTACACCATGTCAATCCCAGCGACGCAGCTTTTAAACGCTTCGTTACTGTCCACAGCGTCTGATCGTCATGGAGACTTGGTGCACAACAAAGAGAATCACATTTCTGAGGCGGCTGTTCAGAAGGCCCTGCCGACGCCGTCCTTTGATATCAATGACTACCTCGCGTCGCCTGGACTCCAATCACCTTCGGTTTCAGCATCTCCCACGCCGATGCGTACTCACAGTGGCGCGCTTCAGTCCGGCCGGGCGGATGAACCTCCCGATCATGCTCTTTCCAAGAATGCCGCATCTGCCAATCCAGGTGCAAGCTTGCCAAGTCTATCGCAGGCTGAGCCCTTCGAGGGCGCCGCCAGCGGGTCTGACCAGCTGTCTCAAACGCAAACGCAAGCGACGCTTGTTCAGTCCCAACGAGTACCGACTCGTTCATCGACTCGTCTGCGAAGCATGCCAAGGGCGCCGCGTACCAAGAGCCCAACTTTTGCTGCACCCATCAAGCACACAGCTGCTGTCAAGACATCGGGGGTGGAGTCTGCATCAGCCAACGGGCAGGATGAAGATCCGGCGCTACGATTGACCCAAGTCATGCTTCAGTCTCGTCACAAAAAGAGCAAAGGCTGCAACAAAAAGAAGCAACAAGGCCTTCAAAGTGACGGCGGCTTGGTGCGCTGTGATTGCAAGCTTTATGAGGTATGCGAAGATCGTCGATGTGAAGCCGGCTGTGCGCCCATCTGACGAGACGCCGCCCGCGATCAGGATGATGGCTTGATGGTCCACTGCGATCAGTGCAAGAAATGGGTAAGGCTCGGCTGCACCTGAGAAGATGTCGTAGCACACTTCAGCACTCACTCTGCAAGTCTCTCGTTAGTTCCATGGAGCCTGCTATGGCTACCTCAGAGACGCCGATTTACCGGACAACTTCGTCTGCTAGTGAGTCATGCAATGTACTGATTGCAGCTTGGCAGTCTCTGTTGCAGCGCTGAGCCACTGTATCGTGCTTCAAGCACATGCTCGATTGCGAGCGACCCCCTGCATACAGTTGAGCAGGACGTCCTGCGCGAGAGCGTGCTGGCAGAGCTGGGCTCCCTTGCGCTAGTCCGCCGCGCTTTGTTCAAGCTACACGAGAAAGGATGGGACGGGGTGGGAAACTTCGCAAAGCGTCTCGGGTGTGCTCCGGCGACAGCTGCCCTCGTGCGCGCGCAATGTCAGAACGAGGGATATCTGGAGGCGACTGCGAACGCAAAGCCCTTCAAGCGACTGACGCCGGGTGCGGTGAGTCTGAAGCTATCCTTGAGGATTGCGTTGCTTGAATACCACAAATACTCACTGCACCACCCGCTTCGTCGCAGCTCGAGGTAGTCAAGACCGCGGGCATTGTGCGCAAGAAAAACGCTAGGTATTTCACGCCAAGAGGCGGTGCCGAGGCGGAGACCTTGAGAAAATGGAAAGTCGCGTGTCCTACCGCGAAGATTACCGGCTTTGACGATCTTCAGGGATCCGCGATTGAGAAAGACGCGTCGCAGATTACAGAGGACATTGAGATGGCCGATAATTCGCAGTCTATCGTAAGTTTGTGTTGGCTTGCGCGCTTTGTCGCTGCCGTAGCTGATAGTGCGCATCGGTGCAACGACATCCAAGCCCGAACTTCGATCGCAAGTCGAGCAGACCTCTGATCAGGTCATGGCTGAGCATGATTCGATCCAGGCGTCGCCAGAAGTAGCAGGCGCACGCTTGCCATCACCGCTCTATCCATTGCAACGACCGATGGGAAGTTCATCATCGTCAGCTAACGCATTCCCGCGACCAACGTCTGGCGAGATGTCACTCGGTCCCACCAGCACGATCCCTTCGAGCACGGCCTTCCGCCCACTCTCTGAGCGCAGTCCCAACGAACGCATATCTACGCCTTTGCCACAGTCGCAGGTTGGCAAGAGAGTTGCACCAATCGATGATCACGAAATGAACGACAGCACTCCCAGTATTTTCCCTCCGCGCCCACTCAAAGTGCAGAAAGCGAGCTTGTCGATGCCCATCGAGCTCGATGACCGCGATTTTGATGTTTAACTTGCGCTACTCAACAAGCATTTGGCGCCAAAGCGCTCTCCAAGACCAGCCGTTCGAGCATGCATGGGACAGCCGCAACAACTCGAGATACATTACTCGTCTCCTCTCCGTCGTCAAGCCATTCGCGTCTCTGTAAGAGAAAATGACCACTTCCTACCCTGGCATCTGGCTCCTCTTCACTTGAAACCTTCCCACGCCAGCACCTGGTGTCCTCTCGCCCCTCCCACCACAAAAAGCCGCTGCGAACAAGCATCACACACGCTTCATGCAGCGGTGCAAATCTTGATGAATTGAAAGAGCTGAGGGCGTCTAAGGCGTGGCTGTGTGGATGGCTTTGGAGCTCGTCGTGCCTATTGCTCTACTCATCGTCGTACTCCGTCACCTCTTCTCTTGCCCGTTGTGGCACTATCAGATGCCAAAAGAACGGGCGAGGCACGATGAGCGGATATCATCTCGACTGTAGCACTTGGCTGCGATGCACCCACCTGGGAAGCTGGAAGGAATGGGCTCGGCCGGAATGAAACCATAGCGTCTCCTCAAAGGGGGCACTGTGACGACCAAGACGGGACCTGCGCGAGCGTGTGCGGCAAGAGATGACGTCAGCTTCGAGACTTGACTGACTTGCAGCACCTGCCCACAAAGCGTCCAGACAGTGTTGCATGAGACGCACCAACGCTTCCGATCAGGACGCTAAAGAAGATCTCTGGCTTCTCGTGAGCGGCCCATTGCTGTGAAGGACGTTGTGTCAGATTTGGGCATTGTGAGTCAAGACAATTCCTCGAGTCCTGCCAGCGCTGACTCCAGACAAGCTGCCTTCCTGCTAGCTCACCATGTACCTGTACGTGGCTTGGAAAGGTCGGAAGATGGATCCGATGGCCGACATGATTGATTCGGCGCCTGCCGAACGATATGGTGCACCTGGTCCTGTATGCGTACTTCGACTTTGGGCTCCTCCGCGGGTGTACTGAGGGCCTTTCGAGAGGCTCGCCAACGCTGATCCTCGAGAGTGCGCACCAATGAGGTCTCAACAGAGTCGGTGTCTCTCCTCGATACGGCTTCCTTCGGATACAGGACAGTGGAAGCCTAAATGAAATGCGAATGGATGTGGAGATTGGGCTGACTAGCTAGCGTTCTATTCGAGATCACTCACGACTCTCGACTGTCGATTGACGATGGCAGGCAGACAGCATGCATGCATCAGCCATGAGCTTCT